GTTTATTGTTAATGTTATTAATGAACTTAGAATTAATGCTCGCAAATGGAAATTTTTTTATTTCATATTAAATTTTTATTTCCCTTATATATTATTTGAGAAGTGATTTGTGAGAAAATACTTATGTGTAATCTTCATAATCACTTTCACCAAAACAATTGTGACATGGCTTGAAAAAAATGTGACATGGCAAATTGGAATGATAACAAAATAATTTTCAAATAAATTTATATTTATTTCCCATAACTAAATCAAAAGAGTTTTTAATCAATATTTTTTAAGATTTTTGTTTTTTTCATTTTTTTAGAAAATATATTTTTATTGAAATTAATAATAAGGACTTTCCAAAATTTTAAAAGAGTTTTTAATATGTTTTGTGAATAAAACTTCCCAAATTTATAACAATAAATATAATTATTCTTTTAAAATATTTTTTAACAAGAGACAATTTGAAAATAATAAAAATATTCTTTAATTTGAAATTAACAAAATTTTTTTTTAATCCATGTTTCATTTATAAAATTTATGATTATATATTTTAATGTTTTAAAATATTATATAATTTATTTGTCTTCCAAATTTTACTTAAGATAAATTTTACTTAAGATATTCGGACAAACTAAATTTAACAGAATTTATATGTATGATACAATGTATTAACGACAAGGTTGACACTGCAAAATCAATTGAAATGAGGAAGTTTTAAAAAAAACAAAATCTTATTTGGTTGTTATGATAGAAAATCGGATCCAAAGACCAAATGCAAAGATCAATTCAATCGTTTTTGTTAATTGAATTGTAAATGAAAGTTGATAAAAAAACAAAAAAAATGGTAAATGAGTTTATTGTTAATGAACTTAAAATTAATGCCAACAAATGAAAATTTTTTATTATTTTATATTAAAAATTGAATTGAAATTAAAATTGAATATCATTAGCAATTTTAACCATAAACTAATATTTTTTTTAATGTATTCAATTCTTGAAAATTATTTAACTCATGGAATCATCTAATATTTGAATAGATCAAGAATCCTAGGATGAAATATCCAAAGCCGTGCCTACAAATAAAAAAAACGACAGCCTCGGACCCCACATTTCAAACCATAATTTTAGGACCTCCATTATTAGTTTCTATGTAATTTAATGGGTAGAAATACTTTATTTAACTTTCTATTTANGCTAAATTTATTTTATGATAACAATTTCTACCAAATTATGGGCAAATCCGTTTCATTTTTATCTTTTAATGGATTTTCATAAATATCATTTATAAGTTATAGCTCCAATTTTTTTTTCTTTTTATTGTTTTCTGTTTACTTGACTTTTTTTATTCAAATTTTTTTTATAACGTCATTTTCCTAGTTCATTTAATTTTATATTTAACTATAAAAGTTGTAACTTTACAATACATTTAATATATTCAAATTAACAAAAATAAAGAAAATACACATGAAATTAAACAAACAGTGTTTTAATATGAATATTTATTATTCGATTTTGATATGACAAACCGCTTACTATAAAAAAATATTGAATATATTTTTATTAGCTATATTGAATAATACTTTATACTAAAAATATTTTATACAATATAAATTTTGAATTTATAGTTAAGCATATTATCGAATATCACAATTTTTTGTTAATATCGCTTTTGGCCCCCGAAAAAGTTGGGCACGACACTAGAAATATATAACAAGAAAAGACTGGAAATATATAACAAGAAAGGAATTTTTAACAGAACAATTGCTAAAGAAAACAAAAAGCAAAACTCGTCAACACCAACTATGGTCTAGAACTAAAGTTTTATTAAGGTTAGTCGTATTAAGGTTTTAATAACCTGGGAGCCTGGGATGTAAAATCCAACAAGAATGTGAGGGTGGAAAAATATATAATGGTAAATCTATTTGGGGCCAAAACGTAAAAACAGCAAAAATACAGAACCCTATTTGCATATACAATTTATAAAGAGGGTCAGTGTGTAATTTATTCCGATTCACGGTTACGCAAATGCCACGTGTCACTGCAGAAAAAAAAGAGATGTCGGCCAGTGGCGAGAAGTACTTGTCTTCATAGACACGTAAAATTACAACTTTACCACTGAAAAAAATCAAATCACGAGAAAGAAAGAAAGAATTGTTTTTTTATCAAAAC